CTTCCTTTCCATAAAATTAAATCAAATAGTTACCAGTTTACTCACATGAATTTGGGGATCTAAGAGGGAACACTGACAAAGATACTGGAAGGCACCTCATAGGGCCAGTTTCCTGCTAGATGTTCCTTTCTGTAATACACTATGTAACTAATTATTATCACCAAAAAAAAAAAATCTTTAACATGCATTATATACACCATCTACTAGATCCCTTTGTTTTACTGAATAAGTTAATAAATAAATTTGACAAAAATTTATTCTGGTAAACAAAAGTAACATCCTCTGTACTAAAACAAATGAGAATTACAGCAGTTGTGATCCTCTGTATTCACACATCTTGTTTAAAAGTATTAATTTTTCTCTTTTTGTGTGTTTGTCCATAAGATGGGAATTGGTTTGATTCCCACATCTTAACTAACCATATACCAACCTAATGAAAATTTAAAAGTCATGGACTCAGACCCTTCCAGAGCATGAACTATTTGCATACACACCAATGCTACTCAGAGCCTCTTGCAGCTCGATTCAATTCTGGTACAGTGAATCAAATCAGGAAACAAAATTCAAAGCTCATCCTCCTCTAACACTGCCAGAAGGACATCATGCAAATCATCTTGTCCTGTACCTCTTTCCATTGAGCATCCAGTAAAAAAAAAAAAAACACAATATTTTCTAGGGAACTGCCCACATGTAACATAAAACAATGAGGCCAGCATTAGAAACAAACCCCTTTTCTGTTAAAGGCACTCTTCTGGGTTTCTGTTATTTAATGATGAAAATAATAATCAGTAAGCCCACAGCAGTAAGCAAATCCGAGAAAGACAGAAGAATACATTTATTTTCTAAAGCACAGTCTTTTCCAAGAAAAAAAACCCAGTAATCTGATTAGAGTCCTTAGCTCAAGGCAAGAAATGCAAATATCTGCATGAGAGGATCCTTCTCTGATTTGCATTCCTATAAGCACGCCTCCGAATTTTCATCATTGAAATTCAAAACAACGTGCAATTGAGTCAATTTTCAGTGCCCACCACAGCAGGATTTAAAGCCTGTGTGCCAGGCTGTACTGCTTATCTGTGTATGGGGGGACACGGGAAGACAAAAAGCTTTGAATGGACTTTCTGGTGAAATGAAGGCCTTACTTTTGGGGGTTTGGCTGCCCTGTTTCAGAGCGAACTTCCACAGTCCACCTGACTGGCCTTTTAGAAAATTGTTGAGAGAGGCCTCAGGGAGGCTTGGGCCCCTCTACATTCAGGAGCTGCTTCTAAGCTTGATGGTCAACCTTGGTCTCTTCTTGAGCTGTGCTGCAGTTTTTCCTGGGCCTTTCCACCTTCTTAGCTTACTTAGATATCGATCCTGGCCTGCAGATTGGAATTACTGGCTTGATCCTGGTCATGTCTTATCACTCTGGATATGACTGGCAATCCCTGGACTTGTGGCTGTCCCTAATTGTTCTCATGAAGCTTATCTGTTGTCCTTGCCCACATTGTGGGTGGATTGCTCTCACTGTCTTTGCCTTGCCTTGTGGGGATTCCTTCAACATGGGCAAAATAACTGAATTTGAATTCCAATCAATAAGATGCTAGGCGAATGAGAAAGGAAGAACAAAACCAGAAACCTTTTCCCCCCGTCCCTTGCTCTTCACTCTTCCATTCCCTCCCTGAGCAGGGCAGAGGATCAGGGAATGGGGATTGCACAGGGGATCCTCTCCACAAGGTGCAATCTTCCAGCAACAAACTGCTTCAGCATGGGATCCCCACAGGCTGCAGCTCCTGCCATGAGCCTTTTCTATGGTGGGATCTCCCCAGGATGCAGCTTCCTTCAGGGCACCTGGTGCCAGGGGGGCTCTGCTCAGGCTGCAGTGTGGGTATCTGCTGCAGTGTGGTCTGCCAGGTCCTGCAGGATCACGGTCTCCATCAGCATGGTCCTCTCCAGGGAAAGCATGGCAATGTCTGCTCTGGCACCTGGAGCACACTGACCCCTTCCTTCTTCACTGATCTGGCTGTCTGCCAGGCTGTTTCTCTCACACATTCTCTCCCTGTTCTCTCTCTCTCACAGCTGCTGTGCACTGGTGGACAGTAACCTGTAGGATAAGGGGTTATAATTATTAAAGTTGCTAAGGTTTATGCTCACAAGAAGGCCCCATAGGAAAGGCAGAGCTGCAGGCTGGATAGCTGGACATTGGTTGAGAGATGAGAGGTAATGAGTGAGGAGAGAGTCAGCTGGAAGTGAGATTGTGAATGGACACTGTGTGTTCACAATTGGGACTGTGATTGGATACACTGTCCACGATGAAGGAACGCATGGACAGTGTATGAGCAGGAAAATGATTGGATGGTAGGACATGCAGACAGCAGCCTGGCAGCTGAGTCAGCCGATGGGTGCCTTCTTTCTGTTAAGTTCTGTTAAGTTTTGGGTTGTTTTCAGTGATGCCAGGTTAAAATTAAAGGTATAAAAAGGGGCCAATTTTTACAATAAAGCGATCTCCTTCAGATGCATAAGGGGGCCCGTGTCACTTTGTTCCCCACTGCTACAAATGGCACCAGAGCAGGGACTGCTTCATTTACTCTTCCTTAAATGAGTTGCCACAGAGATGTCACTGGCATCACTGGTGGGCAGGTCTTTGGCCAGTGGGGGGTCCCTTTTGGGGAAGCTGGGACTGGTTCTGTGTGACACAGGGGCAACTCCTGGTCTCTTCTCACACAAACCACCCCTGCAGCCTCCCCAGTACCAGCACCTTGCCCATAAACCCCACACATATCATACAGACATGGTTATCTTGTGGCAAGAGGCGCAGGCTCAATGCTGAAGGGGGCTGTGAGTTGCCTGGTCTACAGGAAGGTGTCCTTGCCTATGGCAGGGCGTTGGAACTGGGGGATGGTCTTTAAAGCCCCTTTCAACCCAAACCATTTCGTGATTCTGTGACTCTATGGGTGAGCTTAAAAGATCTGAATTTAATGACTTGAATTGAAACAGCAGCTACTCAGTTTTCTTTTACTAAAAGGGAAATGATAAATATTTGCTCGCCTTTTTCTATTGGAAGTGTCTGTCAATAGCATGCTACGCAGCAGTTCCTGTCAAAAAACCAAAGACACTTTTTTATTTCTTCAAGGTGAAAGTGAATTTCTAAAAGGAGATGAGAAAGTAACTGCTTTTCAAAAGTTTTTGGTGCCAAAATTTGTATAAGTGTGACAACTTCAAATACACTCATACAGGTACACTTGCAAATTTGGAAGCTTCTACACTGTTTTAAAAACCTCCAAAGGAATAGCTTCTCTGAGTTTTGAACCCATTTGTTAAACATATAAAACCAGAAGAATACGTGAATAGTTTGCAAGTTTTGACAAGAGGGAAATTGGCAATTTCAACTAATTTCAACAAAGAACTTTGCATATGTGATAGTGAGAAAGCCATTCAGAGCATGTATTATACAAAACTGAACACAGAGTGAGGCCTCTAATCACAGTGTCACAAAGTGATAAGCACAGATTAAAAAAACAGTGAAGCATATACAATCATGTTGCTCTCACTAAAAATAATTATTAATAATATTTTTAATGAGAACAGAAAAAGATTTTATATCAATATTAAGTAAATAATTTACATTAAGCAATAGGAAATTTGAAAAAACTCAAAGAAACAACCTTGAAAACATCTCAAAATTTCTCATTTGATCACTGCCCACAGCTTCTTACTGTACTACTGACAGCTACTTGTGTAACAGCATTTGTGAAGAGCCTTTGTGTGTTTCCTTCTGTATTCTGGACTGTAGATAAGATGTGAATTCCAAAGCTTTTCAATGAATCCAAGCCTCTTCACTTATTTAGAAGACCTATATCTTCTGGATGCAGAAAGTGTTTGAATTAACTTCTTTTAGCACATATACCAGAATTTCAAAAGCATGCATATTCCATATGGAATATGGAAACAAAATTGGGCCTCAATTAACACATGTGCCATTGCTCCTGTATGTAATGTTGTATATTCCCAGATCTTAAATTTGTTAGGCAAATTCCACATCTATTTTGGAGGCTGGTGAATAATGGACCAGTGAGGTACTCTGTAAAAATTATTTCCTTTTCTCTGTTCTGATTGTCCCACAGAAATTTATTGTTTTCCATTGGGACACTCAGAGCAAACACGCAGGGAAAATTATAATGCTTGATATTTTCCATACACAAAAGAAAAACATGATAACACTCTTTGCAGCAGTATCTTGGAAATATCAGATAAA